ACATTTCAAAAAATCCTGTTCAACCCTCCGGAATTAAACCCATGGGTTTTAAACATCCTTTTTTTCGTGAAATAGTTGAGAAAAATATAGGGTGCTTAAAGTACATTCCTACAGAAGATCAGGGGGGGGACATTTTTACAAAGGCCTTGGATTTTGGGGGGTTTTCAAAATTCAGAAAATTTTTGGGGAGGGGTACTCAATAAACATGTCCTGAAATGTGTTGCAGCCCCTCTTCAAATTTTTTAAGGTGCAACCCAATTTTCGGAAGCCTTAGCTTCCTTAAATAAGGACTTCCCTGGGAGGGATTTTTGTTTAAATCAGTAACGGGAAGTTTTTCCCCTTGAAAGGGGATCCTGCTTCATGTAAACATTTAGACAATAATTACACTCACATAAGTCAAACTCCTCTATTTTGATAGTCATATCTTAGTAACTGAGGAACCTTCAAACTGAACACTTGATCATGTTCCATGTGAATTGTTTGACTTGAAAATAAGAGTTTATATATATATTATCAAAAAAAAAAAAAAAAAAAAAAAAAAAAAAAAAAAAATAATAATAATAATAAAAAAAAAAAAAAAAAAAATTTTATATAAATATATATATATATATAATATCTATGCCTGTCAGCAAATTTTTTCTCTCACTATTAATCATTAATAAATGTGTTTTTCTATTTTTGTGAATATTTCATGAGTGCTACGGTTTTTATTTTTATTGAATTATCCCTATTTATATGGGTCATGGGTACATGGGTTAGTCTTTTATCTTCCACTAAGTCCACTCCTTATTATGCCATGTGTCACGTTTTGTTTTAAACTGCCACATAAACCTTTTATTCCCCTTAATCACACTCTCCCCAAAAAAAACGCAAACAACTTCTTCACTTTCCCCACTTCAATTTTTTTTAAAAAAAATTAGGGCTTAAAAATTTCGGGCTTCTTTTTCAAAAATTCCCCCTCAAAAATCAAAAGCACAAAAAGCAATTTTTTTTATCTACTGTATCATGGCA